GCTTATCATAATTCAGAAATTTTTGTTCGGTTTCAGCTGTGCAAAAATACTGCTTAACAAGGCACACATATCTTTAAGCTTACAGCTTAAGTGTTGTATTATTTGTCTATTTTGAGGCAAAGTCTGTCAAATAATGTGTGATAAATACATGTATACTTATGTAAAGCTGCTACAATAAGTAAAACATATTTGAAAAATGAGCCAACTTTACACATATGTGATTTTGAATGTTTGATATGAGGAATATCATTTAAAATTGATCACATTAAAGCAAACACGTTCTTTCATGTAGTACTAGTACTTTGCATTTCTTATTATTATTTTCACACTGCATGTGAAAAAAATATCACTTATATTCAATGGACGAAATATATTGCAAGAATTTCACTGTTGAAAATGATGTATGTATTGTCTTAATTCATGAAAACAAGAAATGCTTTGTTAAAAGAGGATTTAGTGTAGTTGTAAGTTTTGTCAAAACTCAGCAATTTTTTTGTTAATATTTAGTAGAACTACGATTGTATAAAGATAAAAAAATATTTCGAGTTAATTTTCTGACGTAAAAACCTGGAAATCCATGGGCTTACAGGGCTTCGCTATAAATGGTTTATCGAGTCACTGAGATTTTTTTTATATACATATAATAAAATAATTCCATGGTCATACATGTATAGTCAGGGAAATTTTGGCTATAAGTTATAAAACTGATTCCTGGACTAAATCCGTTATTTTGCGTAAACGGGGAAGAAGGGATGTTGGCAGGTATAACAAAGTAGTGGCGCTGTGGGGCCGAAATAAATCGTAAAGGGTAAATTTAAGATGCCATTTCCTTATGTATATATAGTGAAGCAAAGAAATGTCTTTTGAACAAATCCACCTGATTCCTTAAAAAAAAACGTATACCCTACCAACAGCGCATAGAAATAGATTATTTTTACACGTTTGGGAAATGATATAACATGTTTTTTTCTTTTTTATTTTCATTTGTTATTGCTCATTAAGGAATTTCTGGATTGAAAATTTTTGGACTAAGGATAACCCTTTCCCACATTGAGAAATCCCTGAATCCGCGCCGGAATAAATAAATAAATAAACATGTCCAACCATCTTCAAAACTTAAATTTACAAATATGTCCCCATTTCTGTTCTTTGTGTATGAGGGACTGAGTAAAGGTCCCCAATTCTGTAAGCTTATGAGAAGTTGGGTCCCCTACATTTACACAGAGGTCCCCATATTGGCACTTCCGGGTCCCCATTTTCTAAATTTATGAATATATCATTCTAGCTCAAAGACTCAGTCTATTTACTTATTCCAGGATACTGACGGGGTAAAATAAGTTAAACAATACCAATTCTGCCACGAAATCGCTTAGTCCCCATTTTAAGATTTTTTGGCAGGGTCCCCAGATCGAAGTCCAAACACGTATGTGTGTGTGTGTGTGTGTGTTTTTTTTTTTGGGGGGGGGGGGGGGGGGGGTATGGGTTCGTGTGGATTTAATTGGGGTCAACTGATCTGTGGTACAGCACCTAACCCTAAACCCCCTAACCCTAACCCTAACCCTAACCCTAACCCTAACCCTAACCCTAACCCTAGCCCCTAACCCTAACCCTAGCCCCTAACCCTAACTAAACCCTAACCCTAGCCCCCCTAACCCTAACTAACCCTAACCCCCTAGCCCTAACCCTAACCCTAACCCTAACCCTAACCCTAACCCCCTAGCCCTAACTAACCCTAACCCTAACCCCTAACCCCCCCTAACCCTAACTAACCCTAGCCCCCTAACTAACCCCCTAACCCCCTAACCCTAACCTATTCCCCTTAAATACTGGAGTTGTTTACACTGTTTACATGGGTACTACGTTTTTTGTTTTTATGCTGACTATACAGGTAAATGTGCCGTGTGCAAAACATTGCAAGAATGTGATTATGACGTCACGTTCACAGTCTAGAAGTCCTATAACCGGTTTGAACTGGTTTTACTGAAAGACAAGAAAACCTGGATTTTTACTGAAAACAAAACACAAACACAGATTTTGATTTTTCATTTTTATTCAAAAAAAAAAAATAAAATTTACCTCTTGTTACATTTTATTTTTTCACTGCTTCCCTTCCTAAATCAACGGATTCTCTTTCACCACTTCTTTTATTTCCTCCGTGATACAAATTGGTGACACATAAACATAGTAAACCTTTTTCTCTTAATTTCCTCTTGTGAGTGCTGGGAACTGATTTTTTTTTCTCTTATTCCCTTCCTAGTGTCAGCACTTCTTTCTCTAACTGGTCTAGCTCCCTTCCTACATGACTCATCTTTTCCATCACTTCTTTCTCTAACTGGTCTAGCTCCCTTCCTAGATCACTAATCTCTGCCATCGCTTCTTTCTTTTTATTTAGGATAAGGCACAAATAACTTCTTTCATCTAGATCTAAAAGATCCTGTGTTTCTGGTACAGTCTCCTTTGTATTTTCCTCTGCCATATTTTACCTTGAGTTAAAAGTAATCACACAGAATGATCGTCTATGTTTAGCTCTGGTTTATATACCTTTATTTTAGGGCCGTGTGCAAAAAATACGTTTTACCTGCGTTTTCTTATATATACCTGTTTGCATCACCTGTAAAGGGGCCGTGTGCAAAAAATGAGGGACGTGTACAAAAGAAATACTTACCTTTTACCTGTGTTTTCTTATATACCTGTTTGCATCCTCTGTAAAGTGCCGTGTGCAAAAAAAAAAAAAAAAAAAATGCTTACCTATGCATTGTGACGTCATTCACTGTATAAATACAATGTGATTATGACGTCACACTTTTTCATTTACAGTCTAGACAGCCTAGTCTAGCCAGCCTAACCAGTTTGAACTGAATTTTTTTACTGAAAGACAATAACAAATAACACACAATACAAAAAACATGTGTGTGTTATGTCTGTCAAGTTATAACACCAGGTCACTTTTTTAAAAAACTTAGAATTTCTTTTTAAATTTTTTAAACTTTTTTTTTTTAAAAAAACATAAATTTTTTTAACTTTTTTAAAATAACTTTAAATTTTTTTTTCTTATTAATTTTTTTTTTGGTAAACTCCCCTTATAGTTTTTAAGAAATAAAATAAAAAAAATCATGTAATACTACATCAGTGTTATGTTATTGTATGACTTCATCTTTTATACAGTCGGGTTCGGGGTTTCGGGCGGCCATGGCGAATTCTGCAGGATTTTACCCCAGTGAAAAAGGCTTGTAATCCACAGTGTAGGTCGTTTAAAGTTGTTTCACATTGTTTATGATTGTGATTATGTTATCGCTCACCTATATGTTTAATGTCAGCTATGCTAAATAACCCATTTCTGTGTAATTTGAGAGAATGTTTTGACATGTGGTTAAAGTTTTGACATGTGGTTAAAGTATGGCGTGCTATTCATGTTATCATTTAAAAAGTCGATCCTAAATAAATCTGTCTTAAAAAATACATTTTACGAATGACATTTAATATGATTGATTAGAGTATAGGTATCCATATATAAGAGATATTATTTTGCATTACATTTAAACATGTTTTTCTGTCCTGTTTGTCTGTCAATTGTTGCTTTACTTCCTTTGTAAAATGAGGTTAAATTGAGTATCACTGAATATTGTATGCTTTTTTTTTTATCAGGATCAGCTGAGATGTTGTTTCACTGGATTATTTAATTGGGCATATAATTGAATAATTCTGGTAAGTTTGTCTTTGTTTTGTTTACATTTATGAAGGTCATCTTTGCATTTAATCATAATTATGTAAAGTTCTGTTTTGAATGTAAATGTACTGTATTTATCCTCATTTCATGTGATTTACACTTGTTTAGCCTGCATGTAACTCAGAGTGCATTTAATATTTCTATGATGGGTCATTCTATGATATTGAATTTAAATCAGAAAAATATTCAAATTCGTATTGGTAAAATACATGGTATCTTTTACATTTCTGTCCCTTTTGTCTGTAAATTATTGCTTTACTTACATTGTAAAATGAGGTTAATTGTGTATCACTGAATTGTATGATTTTTTTCAGGATCAGCTGAGATGTTATTTCACTGGATTATTTAATGGATAGACTTATTGGGCATATAGTTTGATATCTCTGGTAAGTTTGTCTTGTTTTTTAAATTGTTTACATTTCCTATGAAGGTCATCTTTGCATTTAAGTATGATTATATGGTTAATTTAATTACTGTGTAATACTTATGTGATCTGTTGTCTCTAACTTACATTCATATAAGCACACCCTTATTTAACCTAAAATATATTAACACATGATTAATGGAATTTCGGAATATTAATAAGTCCTTTTGTATAAATTATATAATTTCATAATTCATTATGTATGTTACCCATGGAATTAAGACTTACTAAATGGTGATCAAAGAGATATTAATTAGGAATCTAATAAGAGAAAAGGAGGAATTTACAAAATATTAATCCTAAGTCATTTACTTTTTGTTTTGATTCTAAATATGTGGGATATATGGCATACATATATTTTCATTTTCACTTTTGTTTCTTAGTAATGAGCTTTTCAAAAAATTAAGGACTACATGTTGTACTGTGATGATGCTAAAAAAAAGATGTATTTTTCTGTATGCAGTACTGACAGATATTAAACAAAATTGAATCTGCTGTTAATCTGCTGTTAATAAAAAATCTTTTAGTGTCTAAATAATTAATTTGATAATCATTTTATTTGTGATATCAATACAGTAATTGTGCTTTTTTATTATCTAAAGATAACATGATGAACTTTTCTCATCTGGAGTTAATGTTAAAAACAATTTGTTTTGAGATTAAAAACAAACATTTTCATGAACTTTTTTGGCATTGTACATGTTTGTTCAATTTTTAAACATGCATTGTTTCACACAGTACTCTGTCATATTAACAAAATGGTTTTATTTTCTATACAGTCCTCAACCTGGAAGATATGTATTGTTCCTAACCATCTATAATCCATTCTCTATGAAGTTCAGACTGTCTGCTCTTCCTTTGGAAATACACAGTTATAGTCAACCAACATAGAAACACACAAACTTGAAGGTAAAGTTTCAATGAGATACAATTGTAATTTTTTTAATTTATTTATTTTACATATGCATGTTTATAATTTTGAATTGATATGTAAATGATATATTTAAATAAAAAGGGCTTGGTGGTCATGATCATGTTAAGACTATATTGATCTCCTTTAGAAGAAGAAGAAGAGCTCCATTTCAATATATATACAAAAATGCATGATCAAATTTTGAAACTAAAATGTATGAAAGTTTTCTTTGCCAAATGATAGTTAACAGCTGAAGATAGCATATCTATAGAATAAGTTAAATATGGCTAATTTGTAACCCCCCCCTCCCCCCCCCAGCTTCCTTAATATCATAGTTGGTAAAGATAGCAAGATCTACTAACCAAGATCTTCTTATGAGTGCATGGGACTGTTGTAAACCTTCTCCTGTTTATAAAAAATATACCTTGGAGCATGACACTTTATTCATAAAAGGTACTTTCAATATCATTTCTATGAGTTTTTGTTCTTTCTTTTGTAATAATCTAGTGTTATATCTCATTTAAACCCATTAATATGTATGCTTCCAAAATCTTAGATCTGTCTGTATAGTTTTTTCAGCTCTTTGAACACAAATACCCTGATTCAATCTTTTGAGGTAAACATGATAGAGACATCATAGATGATTATCAGAGTGTGTATCACAATCTTAACCATAAGGTCAATTTAAATGGTCTAAGGCACAACAAGTGAAAGTGAAAACTTATATTTTTTTATTAGAATACATAATTTTGTAATAAACAAATACTGGAAAAGTTACTCTCATAATAAGCCTTAATGTCCTCCAAGAGTTCAGTTTGGACTTCCTCCATTAATCCTTGTATCTTCTCCAATGGTTTTGTGGGCTAAAATTCATGTGTCTTTAACAACATTTTTTTTCTGACAACTGTTTTCTCTTATCATCTATAAACTTGACTTCTTCTCTAGTCAAAGGTCTTTCAGGGTAATCCAAGTAATTCTTACCCTCTTTTGGTAATAAATGGTTAATATATTCTTCATTGGCTTCTTCTGCAATCAAGGGTCTTTCTATGTAATCTCTGACATCATTAGGATCACCCTTTTCTGGACATATTTGGTTATATTCTTCTTAAGAAATGTTCTCAATAGTGCCATCTTTTTTTTATTTTAACTGGTATAACTCTGTCTACATCTTTCTCTGAAAGAATTCTCTCTCCATACTGAATTTTACTCATTCCTTTACTCTTTTCTTTACTAGAGGTGTTACCCATGGTTAATATGAAAAGTAAAAATCTTATGTTACAACTTGTATTTATACCCTTTTTGTCTATATTTAGAATTCCATCAAGCTTATATTACATTACAATTTTTCTTTTTCATCTAAGACATCATTTTTTTTTTTTTTTTTCAGGATTCTCTTGTGAGGGCTTATGGAAATGATCTATGTCTACTCTTAGAATGGTGAAAGACTATCAGATTATGCAAAGACTAACAGTATATCCTCTCTTGGAACACTGAAACAAGAAAACCAAACTTAAGAGGATGGAGGATTTAAGAAGCACATAGATAAATATGATTTCCATCTAATTTAACCAGTACGATCATAGACTGTGGTTTACAGGATGACAAAGAAAGGACCCAGGATTGTATCTTTTTTTTTTACTGTCAGACACTGACTATGGATAAAGTGTAATCATTTATCAAACTGAGATCTAGTCAAATCAAGTATTGAAAATATGATTTTCTGATAGCATGAGCTCTTTAAAACCTAATTCTCACTGACCTCAAAGTATCTGAATGTGACTTTTATTTTTACCAATTCATATTGAAGACTTTTGTTATGTATGAGAAGTATACATTTAAACCTTTTATTTTTCATTTTATTCTTACAACCCCCTAGAATTTACACAGATATCCAGATGATGGATTTAATGTTATTATTTAACTTTCCTGGAATTGTAAATATATTTTGTTTGTGTATGTATCATGTTTAATTTTTGAATTTAAATTGGGTCTCAATAAGACCCCTAATAAAGATGCAAGTGCCCCATAATCTGTGGTTTAATAATATCTTGAATATCTTTATCATACCATATTGTACATACTAATTACATATAGAATGGTTATATGAATACTTTTTGTTGTTTAGGACACTTTGTCAAGGTCAAAGCATAAGATTATTGAGATGACTTCTTTGACATTAATTTGTAACTTAAAAACTTCACATCATAAGTACACAAATGAAGCATGAATAGGAGATTTCAATACATTTATTTTTGGATCATTTTCTCCTGGGTAAAGTTAGTTACTGAGATAACTGATGTGAGTCTTGAAATGCAATAACTTCAAAATTGTGTGATAACTTATAGACTTTATAAAAATTAGGTGTAAATTCTTAGGAAAGAATTAAAATATTAATCAAATGTACAGTGTCCAAGGGTGTTTATTTAAATATTATTATGTAATATCTTGGGTTTCTGTTTATTTATCATATTCAAATTGAAGACAGTTGTTATGTCTGGTTTTTATACATTGGATCCTTTATTTTTAATTTCTACAACCCCCTAAAAATGACACAGATATTCAGAAGCTAGCTTTGGTGTATTTTTTTACTTTCCTGGAACTGTAAATACATTTTGTTTGTGTTTGTCCTATTTTGAATTTAATAGGTCTCAATAAGACCCCTCCCCCCATAAAGATGCAAGTGTCCTATAATCTGTGATAATATGTTGAATATTTTTATCATTCCATAAATTTTATTCTTACTACACATATAGTGTTTGGAGTAATGCACTTAGTTGTATAGGACAATATTCAAGGTCAAAGCATGAGATTATTGAGATAACTACCTTTGTCAATAATTTGTAACCTTCAAACTTTACATCTTAAGTGAAGAATGGATAGGAGATTTTCTATAGATTTTTGGATCATTTTCCTACAGGATAATATTACTGACTTGAAACATTTCATGGTGATTTACATACCTGCAGTCATAAATAGATACATGTAGGCATGGGGTAGACTCCTATAGATTTTAAGATCTTCATTCAAAAGTATAGAAAGTTTTTAAGTTTGAAAGATTAAATGTCAGCATATCATTTGCTTGTGAATTTAAAATAAATTCAAACATATACATCTTTAGATGATAACTAGTTATTTCAATTCCTGGACTTTCTATCTTGATATTTTCCTTTATTATCTGTAAAATTTAATGATTGTCTTTTTAGTTTAGTTGAACTAGTTTCTTATTAGCATGTGAAAATGGCATCATCCAAATAAGTTCATCACATTTTATATGTAAGAGAGAATTTTTCATCACAGGGAAAGAAAGAGATTGTCTTGTATAATATAATGCATTGGTACACAAAAATATCTTTCAATTTCTAACATGTTTCATTTTTGTTACATGGAATGATAAGTTCTGTTGATTTCCTACCAAAGACATACTAGTACAGTAATAAATGTATATGATGTGTCAGAAAAGCATGTGGAAACCTGATGACTTTATCATTTCTGATTAAAAATCAAATTATGAGTTTCATCTCTGTTACATTATTAAAAAAATTCTAAGTAGAGCATACACCAGAAACTCTTAAATTGATCTCTACTGTTCTATCTGAACATCAGGGTTTAACAGTACATAACAATTCCAAATGATTTTGGACGCTTTTTTATGTATCAAAAAGACAAAACAGAATATCTGTTCACAGATGTTCCAAAGGAAAACAACCACAAAGAAAAGATTTGTTATGTTCTTTATGTGATTCATGTAAAATGTATTTTAAAAGTGTAGCATAACAGTCATCTTTTGCATAAATACTTTTTGTGGAGATTTTTTTTATATTTTTGAAAAAAAAAAAAAAGTAGTCTTATTGTATAATAGGGTTAGCTTAAAATCTTGTAGACTTTAAAGTTGTACATGATGTGTTACACATCTTGCATATTTTCATTTCAGGGTATTCAGCATATATTGTGGTTTTGTCTTAAATTTGTTGCTTATGTAATCAATAATTTGAGAATACTCAAATTAGAAAATGTATGAGAGAATAGGCAAGAAAATGAGGTTAAAAATGTTTTTACTACAAAGGGGTTAATCTATATATTTATTTTATAAGTACAATCAGTCTATACATTTAAGGTATTTCTGTATGAAATAAACTTACATTTGAGTATTTTAAGACAGTTGTAAACATTAATTTATCCAGTTTTAAAAATGATTAGATTCATTGTCAGCATGTTATTTCTTGTAAAATAAAAAGAAAACAAACAATTTTATATCAGTTTTTTTTTTTTTTAAATGTAAATAAGAACCATTGGAAGTTGGGAATATTTCACAAAGTTGATTGAGCATAATTCTCACTAGGACAGTTAGAGTATTATGATTTTACCCTTTAAGAAACCATTTCAAATTTCAATATACAAATCATGTTTAGTCATGCAGTATGTAGTTTACATTTGCCAAAAAGTAAATGGTATCTCTATTCAGGGTCAATCCAAAGGAATGAAAACAATGTTTCTTTTTTATGTATCAAACTTTAAGGTTTTGTTACAATAATTTCACTGTGTTCATTTTCTGATTTCTTTCTATGTGTGGATAACCCTAACCTTGGCAATAAAAATACAGGAAATTAATCAATTATGTCAAATGATGAAGGTGCACACCAGAAAATTACATGAAGTGAACAGAGAATTCTGAGTTTCCCTCAAATATGTTCACCAAGTGATGTAAATTTAAAAAAAAATGTAGATCCATCTTATGATTGAGACTTGTACATATTATGAAGCATGCGCACTATGGCATTTAGAATGACATTACATTGATTGAATTATATGAACAGTTAATGCATACAGTGAAAAGGGGAAGAAATATTTTACTTTATAGGCATAAAGTAACAAACACTTACCCAATTCATCAGAATTTTACTCTTTGAAGAAAAGGAACCTTACTTGCTTTGTTGAGTTGACATTCCTATATTGTCTTTGGTAGGTAGACTAATGGTTTTCCTTGACTATAATGAGAACTTTTTATTTAAGAGTCCTCAGATTGTCCTGATATTTTTGGTTAAAATAATTAACTGCATGATATCAAATAATTTGTTCATACAAAGGAATAAAAGATTTTCCAGGTTTCTTCTTTGGTCAAATTAAATGGTGTCCAACTAAAATATCCAACATATAATACAAGATAATCATCCAAGTTACACAAAGGTAAATAAATGACCTTTTTAAGGTTTAAGTCAAAAGATCAAAGTGAGAAGGACATCTGGTATATTTAATAGCAAAATCATCAAACTTCATGGATAGGTTAATTAAACAAGCTTCATAAATTTTGATTTTCAGATCAAAGATCAGCACAATTTTTGCTATACCATTGTTGTCCATGAATATCTAAAACAACTCTATTGATTTTTCAGGTTAAAGGTCAATGTGTTCCTACTACAGTAAAACTTCATTAATATAAGGATATCAGAGTGATTTGTTAATTTGTAAGAAATTAGTTATAAAATCTCCCACTCTCTCTATGATATATCAGTGAATGTGCTCCTTAATTTAAAAGAATTTTACATGCAAATCATATACTGACTTTCAATCCTTCAAAACACAATACAAATTGAATCTTGATATTAACACTTTTAGGTTTTCAGACTTTTAGGATTTCAATTTTAAAAACTTTCAGACTTTTAATCTTTTAAAACTTTCAATCTTGAGGACTGAGTATTTTTGATATTCATTTGGTATGCCATGTCTTTTAAATCATTACCATTAATCCTTAGTAATTCAAACTTTTCATATATGTAATACCAGAGTGTGAAAGTAACAGTGTATGTGCAATCTTCTTACTGTTTATCTAAAATTACTGATTTTATTACAGTCAAATAAAATTTTGTGATGATCAAATTTTCAAACTGAATTCAAAAACAAACTGTCTGACTTATACATATTTAAAGTTCACACTGTTGAATATCCATGAATATTAATACATGTTTATTGATTCAGTACATGTATTAGCTATCATTCATACACTTGTTGAAATTCCTCATGCAATTTTGAAGAATCTCTGTTATAAAGGATGGTAAAGACAAAGGGCCCCATAAATTTCCAAGAAGTAATAATTTTTAAACCTATATATGCAATTTTGTAATGTGTGAATCTTTTCATAAAGATTATTCACACTGTCTATAAAGGATGGTAAAGACAAAGGGCCCCATAAATTTCCAAGAAGTAATAATTTTTAAACCTATATATTCACATTAAATGTGAACTTTAAATATATAACAAATGAAAATTTGATCATCACAAAATTTTATTTGATAATAAAATCAGTAATTTTTTACATACACTGTTACTTTCACACTCTGGTATTACATATATGAAAAGTTTGAATTACTAAGGATTAATGGTAATGATTTAAAAGACATGGCATACCAAATGAATATCAAAAAATTAAGTCCTCAAGATTGAAAGTTTTAAAAGATTAAAAGTCTGAAAGTTTTTAAAATTGAAATCCTAAAAGTCTGAAAACCTAAAAGTGTTAATATCAAGATTCAATTTGTATTGTGTTTTGAAGGATTGAAAGTCAGTATATGATTTGCATGTAAAATTCTTTTAAATTAAGGAGCACATTCACTGATATATCATAGAGAGAGTGGGAGATTTTATAACTAATTTCTTACAAATTAACAAATCACTCTGATATCCTTATATTAATGAAGTTTTACTGTAGTAGGAACACATTGACCTTTAACCTGAAAAATCAATAGAGTTGTTTTAGATATTCATGGACAACAATGGTATAGCAAAAATTGTGCTGATCTTTGATCTGAAAATCAAAATTTATGAAGCTTGTTTAATTAACCTATCCATGAAGTTTGATGATTTTGCTATTAAATATACCAGATGTCCTTCTCACTTTGATCTTTTGACTTAAACCTTAAAAAGGTCATTTATTTACCTTTGTGTAACTTGGATGATTATCTTGTATTATATGTTGGATATTTTAGTTGGACACCATTTAATTTGACCAAAGAAGAAACCTGGAAAATCTTTTATTCCTTTGTATGAACAAATTATTTGATATCATGCAGTTAATTATTTTAACCAAAATATCAGGACAATCTGAGAACTCTTAAATAAAAAGTTCTCATTATAGTCAAGGAAAACCATTAGTCTACCTACCAAAGACAATATAGGAATGTCAACTCAACAAAGCAAGTAAGGTTCCTTTTCTTCAAAGAGTAAAATTCTGATGAATTGGGTAAGTGTTTGTTACTTTATGCCTATAAAGTAAAATATTTCTTCCCCTTTTCACTGTATGCATTAACTGTTCATATAATTCAATCAATGTAATGTCATTCTAAATGCCATAGTGCGCATGCTTCATAATATGTACAAGTCTCAATCATAAGATGGATCTACATTTTTTTAAATTTACATCACTTGGTGAACATATTTGAGGGAAACTCAGAATTCTCTGTTCACTTCATGTAATTTTCTGGTGTGCACCTTCATCATTTGACATAATTGATTAATTTCCTGTATTTTTATTGCCAAGGTTAGGGTTATCCACACATAGAAAGAAATCAGAAAATGAACACAGTGAAATTATTGTAACAAAACCTTAAAGTTTGATACATAAAAAAGAAACATTGTTTTCATTCCTTTGGATTGACCCTGAATAGAGATACCATTTACTTTTTGGCAAATGTAAACTACATACTGCATGACTAAACATGATTTGTATATTGAAATTTGAAATGGTTTCTTAAAGGGTAAAATCATAATACTCTAACTGTCCTAGTGAGAATTATGCTCAATCAACTTTGTGAAATATTCCCAACTTCCAATGGTTCTTATTTACATTTAAAAAAAAAACTGACTCATATAAAATTGTTTGTTTTCTTTTTATTTTACAAGAAATAACATGCTGACAATGAATCTAATCATTTTTAAAACTGGATAAATTAATGTTTACAACTGTCTTAAAATACTCAAATGTAAGTTTATTTCATACAGAAATACCTTAAATGTATAGACTGATTGTACTTATAAAATAAATATATAGATTAACCCCTTTGTAGTAAAAACATTTTTAACCTCATTTTCTTGCCTATTCTCTCATACATTTTCTAATTTGAGTATTCTCAAATTATTGATTACATAAGCAACAAATTTAAGACAAAACCACAATATATGCTGAATACCCTGAAATGAAAATATGCAAGATGTGTAACACATCATGTACAACTTTAAAGTCTACAAGATTTTAAGCTAACCCTATTATACAATAAGACTACTTTTTTTTTTTTTTTTTCAAAAATATAAAAAAAATCTCCACAAAAAGTATTTATGCAAAAGATGACTGTTATGCTACACTTTTAAAATACATTTTACATGAATCACATAAAGAACATAACAAATCTTTTCTTTGTGGTTGTTTTCCTTTGGAACATCTGTGAACAGATATTCTGTTTTGTCTTTTTGATACATAAAAAAGCGTCCAAAATCATTTGGAATTGTTATGTACTGTTAAACCCTGATGCTCAGATAGAACAGTAGAGATCAATTTAAGAGTTTCTGGTGTATGCTCTACTTAGAATTTTTTTAATAATGTAACAGAGATGAAACTCATAATTTGATTTTTAATCAGAAATGATAAAGTCATCAGGTTTCCACATGCTTTTCTGACACATCATATACATTTATTACTGTACTAGTATGTCTTTGGTAGGAAATCAACAGAACTTATCATTCCATGTAACAAAAATGAAACATGTTAGAAATTGAAAGATATTTTTGTGTACCAATGCATTATATTATACAAGACAATCTCTTTCTTTCCCTGTGATGAAAAATTCTCTCTTACATATAAAATGTGATGAACTTATTTGGATGATGCCATTTTCACATGCTAATAAGAAACTAGTTCAACTAAACTAAAAAGACAATCATTAAATTTTACAGATAATAAAGGAAAATATCAAGATAGAAAGTCCAGGAATTGAAATAACTAGTTATCATCTAAAGATGTATATGTTTGAATTTATTTTAAATTCACAAGCAAATGATATGCTGACATTTAATCTTTCAAACTTAAAAACTTTCTATACTTTTGAATGAAGATCTTAAAATCTATAGGAGTCTACCCCATGCCTACATGTATCTATTTATGACTGCAGGTATGTAAATCACCATGAAATGTTTCAAGTCAGTAATATTATCCTGTAGGAAAATGATCCAAAAATCTATAGAAAATCTCCTAT